TCTATTTCTTGTTTCCAGCCTCCGAGCCTTTGCTTTGGCTGTCCTGATTTTGAATGCCCACTCTCCGTCCTCACCTCTGCTCCTTTGCAGCCCCCCACCTCCAGATTCTACTGCAGGTGCCTCCTCCGGGAAGGAGGCCCTCCCCGGCTCCCTCCCACAGTTACCCAGTGTGGGCAGACTCCCTGTTCTTCACGTTCCCCCGTAGACTGATCATCACCATAGCTTGGTGTCTGCCTACCCTGGGAGGCAGGTGCTACTCTTACCCCCATTTTACAGATGAGGACACTGAGGCTCACAGAGGTGGCAGGGCTGGTACCCATCACAGGGCCTGGCACATGGTTGGAAGAACGTTACTTATTTAGATGCAGTCCAGACCCCCATTTCCCCACCTCGTGCCTCCCCACTGGTGGAGTGGAAAGCAGTGGGTTTCAGTGGACTTCCTCTCTCTGGGCCAGTTTCCTCATCTACCAAATGAGGAAGTTGAGGTGGGAGACCACCCCCCCCCCCAGACTTCTTCTGGCTGTCCTGCTACATAGGCCTTAGGGGGTTCTGGATCTGGAGGGGGTGGGCCCAGCTTCCGCAGCCCCTGCCTGTGGTTTCCTTCCTAAGTGCAGTGGGGGTGGGGCTCCCCTCAGGCTACCCAAGAAGGACAACCCTCGGCGAGGACTCTGGCTAGCCAACTGCCAGCGGCTGGACCCCAGCGGGCAGGGGCTCTGGGACCCCGCCTCTGAGTATATCTACTTCTGCTCCAAACACTTTGAGGAGAACTGCTTTGAGCTGGTGGGGATCAGGTAGGAACCGAGGGGTCCCCGGGTGGGGGTGGGGGCTCAGCTGCGCGTCGGGCCGTGAGGCTCACGGTCTCTCCTCGCAGTGGGTATCATCGGTTGAAGGAAGGGGCCGTTCCTACCATCTTTGAATCATTCTCCAAGCTACGACGGACCTCGAAGGCCAAGACGCATGGGTACCACCCCGGCTCTCCCGACCTTACCCGGCTCAGAAGGTGCAGGCGCCGGTACGTCCCCCATGATCGTCTCCCTTTAGGGTCCGTGGGGAGGGACCGGAAAGGAGAAAAACAGGGTGCAGTGGGAGACCCCGTGTCCTGGGCCTGCCTCTGCCCCTGACTGGATTCATGATCCTGGGCATGTCCTTTCCCTTCTGGGCCTCAGTCTCCCCATCTGTAAAATGAAGGCACTGGGCCAGTCAGTCCCCGCAGCTCCTCGGGCAGGGATGGTGGGCCTCTGGCTCTCAGGGAGCGTGGGGGAGGAGAGTCCTTGGATCTGTGCCCTGCCGTTTTCCTCCACAGCTGCTCCACGGGTCGGGCGCCCCCTCCCCCTGTGAATAACAACCTGGTGAACGGGCCCACTCCCGTCGATGTCTCCTGCTTCCCCGGGGAGGAGCTCCCTGACCCCGAAGGCCCTGCCCCCCCGGTGAGCCTGCCGGCTCTGCCTCCCTCGCCAGCCCCCAGCGGCCTCGTGAGCCCTTTCTCCGACCTGCTGGAGCCCCTGGAGCCTCACGGGGATGAGGCGAGCTGCGGGACCCCGCCGTCCCCGGAGCGGGAGCCCTCGCCCTCGGCAGCCCGGCCCGTGTCCCCCTCGGCCTACATGCTGCGGCTGCCGCCCCCGGCCGGCGCCTACATCCAGAACGAGCACAGCTACCAGGTGGGCAGCGCGCTGCTGTGGAAGCGCCGGGCGGAGGCGGCCCTGGACGCCCTGGACAAAGCCCAGCGCCAGCTGCAGGCCTGCAAGCGACGGGAACAGCGGCTGCGATTGCGGATTGCACGACTGCAGCAGGAGCGGGCGCGGGAGAAGCGGACCCAGGCAGATGCGCGGCAGGCCCTGAAGGAGCAGCTGCAGGGCCTCGAGCTGCAGTGAAGGGGCCGCATCTCCCCTGCTGGGCAGCTGCTCCCTCCCAGGGGCCAGAGGAGTGCGGGCCTGCCCCAAAGGCGCCACCGGTGTCCATCTCAGGCCTTTGGCTCCGCGGTATTTCTGAGATCCTAATCTCTCATTCTGCCCAGGCTCCTCTGCCCACCCGCCCCAGGCACAGTCTGTCTGCCCCTGCCTGGGTCCAGGCTGTGAGTGGCCAGGGCAGGTGAGGCCTGGGGCTGCCCACATGGAGGGAAAACACCAGCTGGAAGCCAGGCCGTTGTGCCACTTGCTCTCATGTCAAACTGTTCTGTGGCGGCCAGTAAAGACGCTTGGAGACCCAGCTCTTCACCCAGTTTATTGAGTGCCCGGCCAGCAGGCTCATCTCCTAGGAGGGGCAGCTGGGAGCGCCCGCCGTCTGCCCTCTGCTCCAGGCTCCAGGGGGATTTAGCTGACAGCCGTCCAGGCCAGGTGCACGATGGAGGCCCAGGGAAGTGACCAGGATGGTGCTGCACAGGCATGAAGGGGCGGAGCCGAGTAGAACACACGCACACACGAGAATTGAGCTGAGTAGAACACACATACATGCACACGCACACACGAGAACTGAGCTGACAACATACACACACACACACACCCACCCCACCCCCCCCCATAGTCATCCTTCCCACAAGCCTCCTAAGCAGATTCACTGTCAGATTGCTTTTTTTCCCGAGAACAGTCACCGGGTCAGAAAGGTGCCTCTGGGCCATCACTGCCAAAGGGCGTCACTGACCCAGGATCCTGAACAGATCAGACATGTTTGTATTTTTTCATGACTAGTTCAGAAGCCTCAGTGACGGATGGATAAACGGGCCAATAAGAACACCATTTGCTAGCTCACTCTTGCTAAAACCAGGTCGTATGGGTACACATCTCCCCCATCGTGGCTAATGGTGTATTTTCTAAAATTATACACTTAATAACCATTAACAACAATGCACCGCACAGTGGGCCAGCTCAGCCCAAATCTTGGCTCTAGAAAGGCAGAAGAGAACCCGTGACAAAGGCCCAATGAGCCGACGGGATGCCCCACGTCATGCCTTGCGGGGGGCAGCTCTAACCTGAGGCCGGGCAGGTTCCCACTGGGGAGAAGCAGCAGGGCACCGCTGCCTCTATCATGGGGAGCCCTGAAGCCCGGGGTCATGGGAGGGGCCCCCTGGGCCTGGACGTGGGCTCTAATCCAGATAACTAGCCAAGCGACCATCTCTCCTTTCTGCGCTAGGTTTACCCACTGATGAAATGGGGATATTATACCTCCTAACTTGGCCCATTTGGGAGACAGTTTTACAAACCCCAAGCCCCCATGAAGTGTGAGCTGCTGTCAGAGGCTGGGCCCCCAGTCAGGACCAGTGCCCAAGAGGGAGCCCAGGGGCCAGTCCTGGCTGAGGCCTTCCCACCACCTCTCCAGGTCTCTGGACCTTAGGAGGCCCACTACGGACAGGGACCTGGAAAAGAAGCCAGAGCAGCATCAGCACCTGTGGCTGAGTGCTCAGTGGTGCCCCACTTGGGTGCCTCGTGCCTGGGGGCGACATGGGGCTTATAAAGGCTGGGCCTCCCAAGATGGAGTGGCACGTGCCCACCAGCCACAGAACTGTGATGTATGGAGGGGCCCACAGCTTCTCTGACTAGGCCAGGGCAGTGACAGTAGTGAGGTACATGCCCAAGGGTCAGGCAGCCCCACACCCCGGGTTCTGGAGATAAGAAGACTGTCCGTGGTGCTCCTGGCACAGCAGAGAGCCCAGGTTGCCGTCTTTCCGGCCCAGCCTGCCGTCTCTCCGGGCCAGCCTTCATCCCTGGCCATGGGAAGGGGAGACGGGGGTACCACAGACCTCCCTCCCCACTAGCTGGCCCAGGCTCATTTATGGGCTGAGGGATGCCAAGGCACAAAACTGTTAGAACTTTTACTTCCTCTGAATGGTCTTTCAAAGTAGTGACTTTTGGTCTCTTAAAACATCTCTCCCCAACGTCCGGACAAAGGCTCAATTCAGTCGTGAGGGGCCCAGGGCTCCCCAAAGCTCAGGCAGAAGGGGGCAGCCCCCTTGCCCTGGTCCCGCCGAGTGTCCCTCTGGGCCTCTCCCCGGGCCACTCCGAGCACATGGAGCTTCCCAGGGGTGCCCCCAAGGTGGGGGCGCCGGGGGCGTCAGATGTCGGAGCCCAGCTCGGCACACTGCTTGTCAGATATGTGAGTGGCCAGGGACTCGATGATGTCCACCAGAAGCGGCTGGCTCAGGGCTCGCAGGTTGGGCAGCTTGGAAACCTTTGGGAAAAGCAAGGACAGCAGGATTACAGGCTCCAGTACGGGCCAGAATCTTGGGGGTCACAGCTGAGACTGCCCAGAGGGAGCAGGGGTCACATCCTCTCCTTTTCATCTCCCCACGGCGGAATGGGCCGCTGGGGAGGGGCCGAGGCGCCTCTGGAGCCACCCCACGGTGGGGAGGGCCCCCCACTCACACCCACGTGTGCATGCGCTCCCCTTCTCTGCACACCTGCGCACCACGTGCTCACACCTAGACACGTCCTCGTCGTTCACACCCACGCAGCACACACACACACCCAGAGCTCCTCTCCCCTCAGATCAGTGTGCCAGGCAGTGATGCCAGTCTTCCCTTCCACCCAAAGCCATCATCTCTAAGCTAAACGTCTCATGACATGGTTTCAGGTCCCTCGACCACATGGTAGAATGGGGTGAGCACTGGGCTTAGGAACAAGGGCCTGGGTTCAAATCCTGGCTCGAGTCACTTCCTGTGTGCTCCAGGGCACACCACACCCTCTCTAGGCCTCAGTTTTCTCATCTCCTCCTAGCTCTCAGCTGTAATACCAAGCCAACTTGTGGCATTTGGCCTTCTGAACTGCAAAAAGACTTTGTTTCCCCCCTCTCCCTGGGCATCCCCAACCTTCTTTGTGATGATGGCTGCCCTCTCCCCTCTGGACACAGGCCACACTCAGTGGCCAGATCTAGTGAATATGGAGGCTCAGCTCTGGACCACAGCTGAGGCCACGAACCAGTCCGTCCCTTTCCCCGCCCTCAGCCCAGCAAGCAGGGCCCTCTATCACATGGGTCCTGGACCACGGGGGGAGCCCAGGATGTGGGAGGACATTTCCACCTGGAGCAACGTCTGGGTAAACAGCAGCAGCACGTTTATTTGCGGGGTGCCTAGACCTTCCTGCTTAGCTGGGACCCTTCAGGAAATCCTAACTTTGGGTCTCACTGGGAGCATCACCAGGGAGCCCGCAGGCCTTGGGAGCTGGGACCCTGGGCACGGCCACCCCCTCTTCCCTTCTCTGGGACTCGCTACGTAGCTAAGCTCAAACAATCAAATACAATTTCCAGCTCCGTGTTTGCAGGCTTGACCTGCATGTGTGAGGAGGGGCGCTTACAGGAGGCCCAGCCCAGGAAGGAGGAGCCACAGGCCCTGGGGGCCCTGGGTGCTGGAACACTGGCTCCTAGCCCATCATCACCCCAGCGCTGCCCACATCAGCAGCCACGTTGGCACCTCCCACCCCCTAGGCCTCCCCTTCCTGACCACGAGCTGATGGTCACAGCCCACGAAGGCCTTCCAGAGCCAGGCCTGCCACCCCAGGAGGGCTCAAACTTCACCACCACGCCCATTTGCTCCCCATCTCCCGCTGGAGCTCAGGCCCCACCAGGAAGATGAGGTCCATCACTTAGCACAGCACAGGCCCAGCTGCTCCGTGGGACGTCAGGCCAGGCAGCAATGAGCAACTTCAAAAGGGACCTGCCCACCACCCAGCCCTCAGCATCCCACAACCGCTGCCCTTCTGGGGCCTCCCTTCCTTCTGCGGCCTTCTCTGGGAGGGGAGGCCGGCGACACAGCAGCTGGGGCAGTGCCCGCGGCCCCGAGGGCCGGGGCAGGAGAGGATGTGGGGACGGAGGGCGTGTTCTGGGCGGCGGATGCCAGGCTTCCTTCCAGTCTGCTGCCAGGGCGCCGGCCCCACAGCCAGGGCAGGCAGGGTGGGCAGCAAACCCCACAAACCCCAGGCAAGAGCCAACCAACCTTGGTGAACTGGTGCACGATGATGTGAAGGCAGTGCCTCTTCATGTCCAGGGCCTGGGTCTTGTCAGCGGCCTCTAGAATCTGAGACGCAGAGGATCGGGCTGTCAGCGCTGGCTGGGAGGGGCCCCCTCCCCGACCGCCCCGATGCCCGGAGAGCTGGACCCCAGCCGTCACCTGGAGCACGTTCTCCACCGTCACGTTCATCTCCAGATTCTGCCGGCAGTAGGCCTGGAGCCGGTTGTTGTAGAAGCCGTAGTAATAGGGGGCGGCAAAGAGATAGCTGGGGGACGGTTAAGGAAAGCTGGGCCGCCCCAGAGGGGCGCAGGCGCTCTCAGGCCTCAGGCGTAACGCGAGGGCTTCGCGGCTGGGGGCCCTGCCCCGAAGGACCCTCTGCACGCACCAGGCTGGCCAGCGAGCGGACAGAGGGGCCGTGCTCACAGAGGCCACCTGTCGGATAACGTGTGAATGGGGGTGCTTTGGCTGAAGGCGAGCAGACTAGAAAGGGAGATGCTCTGCTTGGTATTAACGCAGACTGAGCTGCAGGGGTGAAGGCAGGCCCCCTGCAGGAGGCGTCCTCTAGGGGACCGAGCGGTGCACGTACCCAGCGCTCTGGATGGCAAAGGGAGGAAAGGGGCCAGCGAGTGCTACAGAGAGAGCGAGGGCCACCTGTCCAGCCACAAGGGGCCTGGAGGCCTGGAGGAGGAGCGCAACAGCCGAGGAAGGGAGCCCCTGAGACCAGGCAAGGAAAGGCCCAGATACCCCGGTTAGCCAGGGCAGAGCCAGCATCAGGCCCCGACCCTGGGCTCCCAGAGCCTGCAGCCAGGCCGGGCAGCCTCCCCCAAGCCCCTCTCCTCTCCCAGCCCAATGTCCGCCTCGAGCCACAGGATACAGAGAATCCTCGGGGGGCATGTTCACTTCCCCGTAGTAGATGTAGCGGAGCATGGACTCGAAGGCCTGCTTGCTGGGCACCATTTCCCCAATGGAGATGTTGACTTGGCCATCTTCAGGCATGAAGGACCGAAACATGGCTTCAAAGTAACTGGAAGAAAAAGGAGGCCCAGCCGCCATCCGTGAGACAGGAGCCGGCGTCCCCACCCGCGGCGGCCGTCTGGGAGGCTGGGCGTCCCTCCTGCCGGGCCCCAGCCTCCTCTGTCCCCTCCACGTGGTTTCCCGCTGCGCCTCCCACCTCCCTCCTGGGCCACGTCCCCTTTTGTCACTCACCTGGAGCGGGCGGCCAGGATGGCCTTATGGGCTGGGCGGGGGTGACCGTCCAGGAGTAGGGTGATGTCACAGAAGTCTGTCCCTGCCCCCTCCAAGCAAGCCTTCATATCCTGGATCAGCGAGGTCCCTACAAGAAGGGGATCAGCATGGGGGCACCCACATCCACGGGGCCCTGTCGGGGCGGCCCTGGGCCTGGGCTCCCTCCCGGGTGAGGCAGAGCCCCCTCACCAAGACGGGAGCAGCAGGGCGACTTCTCAGTTTCACGGTCCCCAGAGACAAAGAGAATTAAACAGGACCCAGTGCTGGGCGGGTCCTTCTGCTCCCACTGGGGGGGCACAAAGGGGCCCACCGTCGGAGGCCGTGGCCCAGCCCCCGACCCAGCAGCACCCCCAAATGGGGGCTTTCTGTCCTCGTGAGCAAAGCACCCTCTGAGCTCCAGCTTCTTCATCTGTAAAATGGGCATCGTGACCCCCATGGATGTGCCTCAGCAGAGCAGCTGGGGAAGGGTGGTGCAAACACCTTGAAGGGGCTTTGGGGGGGGGGGCAGGGGCCCACCTATGTCCACGGGCTGCTCCGAGTGGGTCCGGATGGGCGGCTGCTGCTTCCTCCGCACGATCTCCACGATCAGGGAGGACGAGAGATGCTCAAACTCCTTCATCATGATCACCTGGTTGAAGTGGGACTCCTTCACCACAAAGTTCAGGCAGTGTTCCTGCAGGGCAGAGACACGGGGGGAAGAGATGAGAGACGTGGGAGACAGATGAGAGACGTGGGAGAGACGGGGAGAGCAGAGAGACAGAGGGAAGAGAGCGGGGGCACAGAGAAGCCCCTGCCGTCCTGCCGCGGGGCCTGGCCTGGAGTCGGCCCGTCCTCCTTCAGGGGTGGCCCCAACATTGCTCCCTCAGCCCGGGCCTCCAGCCCCCTGCCTGGAAAAAGGACTCTTCCCTCCTCCCTCTCCCTTCCCCCCTCTTGTTCTCTTAAGACTACCAGGACAGACCCCCCCCACCGGCCTTCTTGAATGAGCTCCCTCCCTCTAGGGCCCTGAAGATGGGGGGACCCTTCTCCCCAGGGTCCAGTGGAAGCAGTCTGTCCTGGTTCACACTGACCCTGCTTCTCTCGATCCCGTGCCTGACCTCCGGCCCTCTCGCCTAGCCCCTGCCCCCCCTCCCCACCACAGCCCCTCCCTACTGCAGGTGAGCGGCCCCTCCCCTCCCGCTGGGCCAAAGTCGCCTCGGCCCCACATCCTGCCCGCCAGAAAGGCCGGTGCCCGGCTCCGGGAGCAGGCAGCACGGCCCGCCCGTGCCCTCCTCCCGCCACGGACAGCCGCGTCTCTTGCCTTGAGCTGGTCCAGCTGCAGCTTGTTGGCGTTCTCGCACACGGTGAGGACGTTCTGCAGGTCCACGGAGGCCTCGATGTATTGCAGGCAGAGCTGCTCCAGCCGGCACAGCTTGAAGCTCAGCGCCAGCTTGTAGACGTCCATGATGAGCAGCACCTCGTGCACGTGCCCTGGCATTCACCAGCGAATAGGCTGAGCCCACCCCCGCTCCCCGGGCTGCCTCAGCTTCCCTAACCACTGCACTGCCTGGTGCCCAGCACACCTGGGGACGCGGGGCCGGAGCCACTGGGGGAGCCCGCAGTGGCCAGGCAGCGGGCAGCCCTGTGACAGCACCCCCCAGCCCAGGAGCTCGCAGGAGACCGACCACAGCCCCGGGAGGGGGTCACGGCTGGCTGTCTGGCTGTCCCGAGGCCTCCCCTCCATCGGGTCACAGAGGGGTCCGGGCCTCCCAGCACTGATACCTGCTTCCCCTGGGGTTGGGGAAGGCCTCCACGTGGGCAACCCCAGGCTGCCCGGGCTCCCGAGGGAGGGCTCCCTGCCAGGCCCGCCCTACCTTTACGCGGATACTTGATCTTGTCCGTGTACAGGAACTGCATGAGCACCTCAAACGGCTGCGCCTCGGCCTCGCGGATCGCCACCTCCAGCAGAGAAGGCGGCAGAGGCGGCTTCCCGCCGGCCGGCCCCGGCCCCTCCTCCTCCGGCTCCGACTTAGATTTCTAGGCCCGACCAAAATAAGGAAGTAGAAATGGCAGCCTTCACCAACAAACGCCTTCGGAGCCAGATTCCTGCCATGTGTTCGCGGGCAGCCTCAGTCTGCTCATCTAGAAAATGGGCAGACCCACCCTCTCGCTTTCCCAAGGCCATTGTATGCAAAAAGCACCAGCCAGCATTTTACAAGTGAGGAAACTGAGGCTCAGAGGGAAGAGGTGACCAGGTGCCCCGACTCCAAGCTGCTCCTGTCCCGGCCCCAAACCCCCCTGAATTCCTATTGTGTGTCTGTCACGTGACAGGACCAGGGAAGGAGCAGGTGCTGGGGAGAGCTGGGGAGGGTGCGAAGGCTCAGGCTGGAAGGGAAGAGGTGGAACCGGGCTGGGGAGCACCGGGTCACGCCTGCTCTGACAAAGCTCTTCCCTTGCAGGTACAGAAAACATTCCCATTCACAAGTGTGGAAACTGAGGCTTGGGAGGGCGACTGGCCACTCAGCAGCCGAGGCAGGCCGGCACATGGTCCTCTGCGCTGCAGAAAATGCCTCTCTCCCCACCTACGCCCCACAGTCCCCCAGAACCGATTCACAACTCATGCCACCCCCTGGAGCGCTGCGCCCTCAGCGGGGGTCCCTGCAAGGGCCTGAGGGGCATAGACAAGATGGCCTCTGGGGGTCCTCTAGGGCTAAATCTGGGGTGCTGGGCCAGGACAGGCCTCAGCGGGGCAGAATCTGAAACAGACAGGACATCGGCCACTCCTGAGACCGTCCACACTCCCAAAAGCAGCCCTGTAAGATGCATCCACCCCTGGGGCAGCCCGTCCACTCGGTAACAGCTCCCAGCAGTTCCCAGGATGTCTGACCTCCCGCTTAAACTGGGCCTGCAGCCAGCACCAGAGACTGGCAAAGATCCTGGGGCATCGGAGGCAAGACCGTCCGAGAGCGGGGATCTTGGATGGGCCGCCGGGCCACCACAGCCACCCGACTTGTGCGCTGCGGCCGGCTGGCTCCCTCCCTGCTTCACTCCCTTGTTCCTCTGCTCCCTCCCACGCCGGCTCGCTCACCTGCTCGTGGCAGGCGGCCTCCATCGTGTACTGGTGAAGTCTGCGGCTGACTGTATTTCCCCGTTCACTCTCACCGGGGGGTCCCCCCCCATTCTAGGCTGCTGAGCTCTCTGGGCTGTCCACTGGCACCCCACAGGGAGCTCTCCCCGCCCTCTTACAACGCGGCGCACATCCTGGGTGGGCTTTCATCCAAGGCCCTGACGAGACGTCCGGCAGCACCTCGCCCCACACTGACCGGGAAATCCTCCTCCTCTCCCGCTGACGTGAGCTCGGCCGCTGAACCAGGTCACTCGCTGTCTCGTCGCTGTTCTTGGTGGAGAAGCCGCACCCCTGGTGAGCGGCCTGCGGGCATGCTCTGTGATGGGCGTCCCGTCCACTCTGCGCAGCCCCTCTAACTGGCCCTCCCACAGCTCGGCTCGTTCTGGGCATTACACTCCTGATGTGGTCCTTAGGGAGCTCCCGGCCTTGCCGCCATGAGCTGCCCAGCACCTCCGTTTGTCTCTCCAGGCAAACTATCCTTCACTTCCACCTTGAAACGGGTCTCCTGGCGTCTTCAAACTCCTTCTCAACCTTCTCTCCTGGGCACTGATAATGCCAATTAAATTATTTTTAAGGCCAGTCACCTGACCCTACCTGTGCCGCTCTGGACAGAGAGCTCGCCAGTAAATGGGGCCTAATGGAAGTCGTCTGTCTCCAGAACACCAAGCCGTGATCCGTTGCCCCGAGCATCGCCCACAACACCCAGATGACAACAGCTGTTCTCTGGATGACCACCGGTCTTCATTCAAACGCTTCTGTTACCAGCCTTCCCCCATTTTCTGATGTGAAATGATCTTAATAGCCCACATTCCCCAACATATCCCCACCCCTTCAGTTCCCCAGGCGACAGATCCCGGGCAGGCGCCCCAAGGCCCCACAGCACCCGTGCATTAGCAGTGCCAGGCCTGAGCTCCAGCCTATCCTCTGGACATCTGCATACGGGCACCAACACTTCATCACTGGCCGCCTCTGTGAAGTTTGTCTCCCAGGAATTTCAGCTGAAATTTCAGCAGGAAGGCACAGTGGGCTCGCCCCACAGACAGTCTTCTCCCTCCTTTCTTTTCAGGTTCAAGGCCTCTTGCACAGGATCATGGAGCGGCCATCTCAAAGCTGGAAAGGACCTTGGAAACCGAGGCCCAAACAGGGGAAGGCCTGCCGACAATGGGGGCCTGAATCCAAAGAAACACCACGTGTTTCCCGCCCAGTGCACTGAGCCATGCGCTCCACTCCTGGCTGGGGGGGCCTGTCGTGCCTCTGCTCAAGGCTGTGCCCCAGAAATCCCAACGCCATCCTTGGGGAGCGTCGCCGCTGTGACCCGCACTCCTGCCCTCGATGGGGGCAGACACGAAATGCAATGCTCTAGGTTCCTGCTTGCCATCTGCCACATGACAGAAAAGAACGTGACGGAACACTTCTCCCCGTGTCAGCAGAGGGGACAACGCCAGCGGGAGTCCAGCCGTCACGTCCGCCGTGTCCCAGATACGCAGTCCCAGCATACCGCAGACCCCAGATCTCAGAAAACTGCCCCCGTGGCCCCGGGCAGGGACCAAGCGCGGCTGGCGCCCTCTTCCTCTGGCCACACTGGGCTGACGCCCTGGCCCCTGGCATCACTGCCGTTGTTCGCTGGTCCTTCCCATTCATCTTCTCCACATCATACTATTACTTACTTACACACACACACACACACACACCCGCCTCCTCCTAACACTGGTCACAACCGCCGGGCCTCACAAAGCTCCTCCCTTCCTTTTCACACTAAATCCCTCCATCCCGGCTTATAAAGTCCCTTCCTTCACACTGACGAGCCAGCAGGAGAAGCGGCATCCCCTTGGCCAGCCCTCCTAGGACAGAAATCCGCCAGCATTGTGGACCTCGGCCGCGGGGTGGAGACATAAGCCACCCCCGCTACCCAGACTGGCTGAAAGGGGACTGGCTGGGTCCTCTGTCACTCCTACTAACAGCTCCCTCTCAGACCTCCAGGTCAGGACTGGGAGGGGCCTCAGAACAGGGAATGTCAGAGCTGGGGGAGGGGACCATAAGTGACAGGCCCTTCAGTCTTTAACTGCATCGGCCATCCACTGATTTCATCCCTGTGAGGTAGATGCCCCTGTGCCCATTTTACAGATGAAGACACTCCAGGCCTATGAGAGTCTGAAGCGGGATTCTCACTCAGGTCTTTGTGCCCCAAGCTCAGAGGTTCGCCCCTCCGTCCCTGCTGCCTCTAAGAAAGTGGCCGTGGGGCCCATGCTGTCGGGGATTTCAGAGGGGTGGAGATCAGCGCTCCCGAGCAGCCTGCTGCCCTCTGGAGGAGGCCTGAGATAGATGATGCTCACCTGTCGCACTCGCTCCCGGGCCTGCATTATCTTCTTCCGAAGCCACTTGCAGCGCGCCGTGACGATTGCAACGTGTCCCCGGACCCGTTCCTCCTTCTATGAATGCAGAGAAAGCAGCCGCGTCCAGCTCGGCAGGCGCCCCATGCCCCGGGGGCAGGGCAGGCACCGTCCTGGGGACGCCGGGGGGGGCGACTCTGGCTCTGCCCAGCACTGCTGTGCCCGGGGCCCCTTGGGCAGGTCACCTGACGCCCCACGCCTCAATGCCCTAACCCGTGATGTGAGGGGGATGGCTCTGGGGTCACCTGGCTCGGCTCCAACCCGAAGCGTGACCCCCCGCCCCTCGCCTGGCACTAACACTGACCGTGGCGACGACTTACTTCCCACGCCTCTGGAGCACCGTCAGCGCCAAGCGCTTCTCTCCCAGACCCCGGGATGTCCAGCGGGAGGCCGTGAAAGGCGCTCCGGCCCCAGGGAAGGGCGAGGCCAGCGGCCCCTCGCACCCACCTCTCCCAGTATGAACTCCACATCGCTGAACTGGCGGCTTTCCCACAGGCGGCCGTAATCTTCGTGTAACGTACACTTTGGGTAACAGGAAAACTGAAAGACAAGGACCCCGACGGTTGGTCCTCCTGCGGCCAGCCTCCCCCGGACACAGCACCAGAGCGGGAAGGAACCTTCTGACTGGACCCTTCCCACATACAGGAACAGGCCCCTCTTCCAGGCCTGACTAGATCCTCACCAGGGATGGGGAGCTCACTACCTTCCCAAGTCACCTGCTCCATCTCTAGGTAGTTCTAATTTTTAGAAAAGTTCTCTTCTTCCTATCAATTGAACCCCCCCGTTTTCCCACCCCTTGCCCTGCAAAGCCCTGAGGAGTAAGGCTGACCCCTCCTACACAGGACGGCCCTTCAGAAACGACCCCCTGGACTGGCATCCCCGGCTCCTGCTTCTCAACATCCTGCCTGAAATGTGCTGCCCAAAGGAAGTGAATCCCCCACTCTTGGGCAGGGCTAAGGCGGGGGTGACCCCCATTCTGGACACAGCACCCTCACCCCATGAGGCACTGCAGGCCTGGCCAGCCACTACCAAAGGGAAGGCTGTCCCTCCACCCCAGCCCACTGGGCTTTGAGCTCCACATTCAGCCCCTAGCCTTGGCTGTCCCTCCTCGCCCGCTGTCAGTGGCAAATCTGGGCCTCCCTCCCGGACCCTGATGTGCCCGGGCGGAGGACGGAGCCCTCCTGGTGCGCAGACCCTCAGAGGGACCGTCCTCTCCACCCAGCGTCCAGCCCCCTGGCTCTTCCCCTCGGCCCACACCTCACTATCCCGTCTCCAAGGGGGACACCAGGAATGCTGCCCAGCGCTCTGCTGGGTCCCAGCCCCCCGGGGGGTCCTCCCAAACCACTCCTCTAGTCTGCTGGTCCAGGGGCCCCAGGCCACGCAGATGTGGTGAGCTCGGCCTTCTTCTGCCCCGTGGGCCCCACAGCAGGGCCCTGGCCACCCTTGAACAGGGTCCAGACAGCTGCGCACCTGCGCAGACGCCCAGCTCACAGGCCCGCCTGGGCCCTGCCCCTCCTCCCAGGTACCTGAAATCTGTACATTTCACCGCTCCGAATGTTGTTGTCCACTGTCCCGCCAAATATGTACATGGCATCCAAAATGACGGCGGCCGCGTGGAACAGCCTCCCACTGGGCAGCTGGAAGACAGGAGGAGAGGAGAGAGCCAGGGTGAGGAGGGTGGAAGGAGGCCGAGCCGGGTGCACCTGCCGGGCCCCACGAGCAGAGCTGAAGGCGAGGAGGCCTGGGCCAAGCAGGTGGGTGGACAAGGGAGGAAGACGCCAAGGCCAAAGGCAGGGGCAGAGCCGGGGGGCCTGTCACTGACAAGGGTCCATCCTCAGGGGCTGCCCATCCAAACCTCTCTGTCCCTGAGCCCCTGGCGGCTAGCCCTCTGGTGCCTGAGCACTCTGCCCCGAGCCAGGCTCTGTGGCCCTGACGGCCTTCAAGGTTAAGGCCAGATGCCACCTTCTGTGAGAAGCCTTCCCTGGCCCTTCCTCCCCATCGATCACATCCCATGCATCACCTGCAGCTTATCTGGACATGGTCATCTCCCCGTCAGACTGGGAGCTCCCTGAGGGAAGGGACGGGGTCTTTAGTCTGTCTTTGTATCCCCAGCCCTCAGCAGAGTGCCTGGCACACAGCAGGTGACCAGTCAGTGCTAGCTGACTGACTAACAGCAGACACTGGGCCGAGGCTCCAAGCCTTTCTGGTCGGTAGGAGCTCCCAGGGCTTTGTGGTTTCTACTTCGCGAGCCCAGCGTCCCCTCTCCATGCCAAGGGCACGAGGGAAGAAGGCCTTCGAAGGCAGCGGACAAAGGAGCCTGGCCGGTGCAGACGGCTGGGCCTGACAGCCTTGGCAGGGCCGGGGTGGAGGTAAGGGGCGTGAGAGCGGGTACCCAGAGACGCAGGCTGAGGGCGGGAGTGAGGCTGGAGGCCCCGCAGGACCGGGCAAGGGCGCAGCAACGGCGTAGAGGGAAAGGGCTTGGGAGACCTAGGGCCATGTGTCTGTCCAAAGATATTTTTAAATTCTGACCTCAACCCAAAAAGACCAGCATTTCCAAATGCACTCAGTGCCGCCGTCCAGCCGAGGGCCTGGTGTTTAACACCAGTTCTGTTACTTATGACATGCGAGACAGTGCGCAAGTCCCTGCACCAGCCTGGGCCTCAGTTTCCTCCTCTGTCAAATGGGGGGCCAGGAGTTTAGCTATCAGGATTTAAAGACGGCCCTGAAGGGTCATTCACTCGGCCTTCGAGGCCCTTCCATCTCTGGATCCTTGGCTGAGAAAGGGAGGCAGTACGACGCTCCACTCTGCGTCTCCTGTCCGCACTGCCCGGCTGGGGGCTTGCTTTCACCTTGACCCCACTCTCCTGGAAGCCTTCCCTCAGACCCCACGACCCTGGGGAGACGCCCCCTTTACCCACAAGGCACACGTGGCTCCCAACAGAGCCGACAGGAAACATAAGTGGATAATTCTTAACGACGCAGTGCCCCGGTGTGGACGGCATCAGGGAGGCCGTGGACTCTCGGCCGCCGCCGAAGCCCCCCGCCGCGGCGCAGAGCGCCGTTACCTCGCTGTCAGGACTCGGCTGGATGACCTCCCAGGTCTGGAAGTCGACGTCGTAGCAGTGAAGCTCGTTGGGGAGGGTGTTGTCGGCTGCACCCCCAAACACGTACAGGTGCCGGTCAAAGGCAACCATGGTGTGCCCGTATCTTCGCTGAGGAGGCGGCGGCGAGCCCCGAAGCAAGTGCTCCGTGGGAATCCGGGTCCAGCTAGGAGACGGGGTTCGGGGGGAGACGTCAATCCCCACAGCGACGCCCAGCTCGCAGACCCTCCCGGGGTTCCAGGCCCCCTGGAATTGCTAAGGCAGCGACGTCAGCAAGCCAAGAGGCGGCGACATCCTGCCTCCAGCGCCAGCCCACGTCCTGGGCGCTGCCCCTGACCCCCAGGCCTGGCGAGCAGAGAACGGAGGGCCAAGGAGCCCCAGGGGCTTCTGGGAGCTCGGAGGCCTGCGGAGTGGGGAATCCCCCAGCCACACTTACACTTTGTCTCTGAACTCAAACTGGAAGAGGTTATTGGTGATCTTGGCTCCACTCTGTCCCGAAAACACAAACATCTTGTCCCTGCAGACGGCCACGGGGAAGTTACAGCAGGAAGGCGGGATCTCGCCGCTCTGCTCGATCTAGGGACACGAGAGGGGCACAAGGCGGGACGCTGGCGGACAGGGCACCAACTGGCGCCGGGGCCGGGCAGGCACGAGCCACCCGCCTGCTCCACAGCCCTCCTTCCCAGCTTCCTAACTCCACTGCCCTGAGCGCCTTCGAAGCTTGAGCGGCGAGGCCTGGACCGTGGACACCCAGGCCCCCCACGCGGCTGACCAGCGCCGCGGCCCCAGCACCACCCGCCCTCTTCACACTCCCGTCCCCGCTCTGCTCAGGGGGACCTCGTCACCCCACCCGCCTCCTCTGACCCGGGCACAGGCAAGCAGGCTCCATCCGGCTCTCTGGCCCCTGGCTGGCAGCCGGGACCCCTCCCGGGAGCCTGGATCTGGAGCCAGAAGGCCGCCTCCTTCCCCGCTGAACTGCAACCCAGGGGCAAAGGACTCCGTCCAAAGCTACGGGATCTCTTCCCAGCCAGTATGAGGGGCAGTTCTCAGGCCTCGTCCTTGTCGATGTGCCTGGACACTGGACGTGCTGACCGCTCCATCCTCCCACATACGCTCTCCTCTGCTCTCTGGCTTCCTCTCTCCTCCTAGCCACGGGACCACTCCTCGGCCTCGTCTACTGGCACACCCCCCATTTCATGCCGCCGACCTGTGGGTGCTGCCAAGGGTCTGAGCCGGGCCCTCTCTGGGCTCCAGGATCACCTCCATGCAGACAGCGCCCAGATCTACACAGCCTGCATCCCCAGTCAGACACTGACCAGCCGGCACATCACCACCACCTGCCTCAGTTTCTTCAACCAAAAAACGAGGCTGATAACAGCACCTTCCTCCCAGAGTTGTGAAAATCAAACGAGGTAACATCTGCAAAGCACCTAGGCCAGTGCCCAGCACACAGCAGGCACTTAACAAAGACCTGTTCTCCCGCTGCCTGGTGGACGTTTCCAACGGGATGAGCCAGGATTGGAATCTTAGCTCAGCCTCAAATCACCTCCCGGCTCCGCCGGCCGGCTCTCTCCCAAGCTTCCCTCCCTCTGCCGAGGGCCCTGCCCTCCTCCGGCACCAGGACGGCACCCTCACTCCTTCCACTGCCACGCCTCCGCGTCCCGGCCTCACAAAGTCACTGCCTCAGCTCGCCCTGTCTCCCTCCCTCTGTCCCATAACTGCTGTCCAAGGGTGCGTCCTCACTGGACATCAGAGCACGTGAGCCCTGGGCGTGATTAACTGTGAGGCAGCTGGTGGCCCAAGGGAGGCAGGAAGACCTGAGTTCAAGTGTGGCTTCAGACACTTCCTAGCTGTATCACCTTGAGCAAGTCACTTAACTGCTGTTTGCCTCGGTTTCCTCAACTGTAAGACGGGAATAACAATAACAGTACGTGCTCACAGGGCTGCTGTGAAAACCGAATGAGAATATTTACAGTGCCCGACACAGTGACTGACCTTAGCTACTGCTGTTATTAGCAGGAATGATAATCATCCCAGCGGTCCCACCGCTTCTAGGACACTAGAAACGCCCTTCACAGTCTGGCCCCAACCTCCCTTTACACTCTGCCACCTCTGGCCTTCTCCCTCTTCCCCTATCTCCCATCTCCGCACCTTTGCACCAGCCGGCCCCCATGCCAGGCATGCCATCCCCGGTCCCTTCTGCCTCAAAGAATCCCCCTTTTCCATAGAGCCCCGCTCAAGTCCCCCCTCTCCCTGGAGCCTTTCCCGATCCCCCAGGGTGCTCGTGGCCGCCCCCACCCCAATGACCCCGCACAGAACTGCTTTGTTCTCAGCTGCATTTCTCCCCTTCAGTCTGTCTACAGGCCCGGGGGTCACACGTACGAGGTGGGAATAGCTAGTTCCATTTCTCTTCCTGTGTGTCATGACAACCCCATTTTACAAAGGAGAAAACTGAGAGCCCAGGTGCCTTGGTCAAGGCCACAGAGCCCTTCATATTTGAGACAGGATCTGCACCCAGGGCTTCTCCTCTCCTCCCCACCCAAGCCTGACCAGAAGAAGGGCTCTCCACGGCATGCCACACGACCTCCGGCCACGGGCAGGCCTCTCACCTCCTCCCAGCAGGTCAGTTCTCGGTCCTGAAGGCCAACGGTCCACATGTCATTGAGCCTGGATCGGGAGGGGGGGAAGGGAAGAGGGTGCAGGTGGTTACACTCTCAGGCAGCCCCACCCGGCCATGCTGCAGAAGAGATGGGCAGCCCTAGGGCAGCGCCCGGCCCGGCCGGGGGCAGAGATGGCGGCAGGAGCCTGAAGGCCAGCTGGGCCTGCCATCCCTGCCAGGACTCAGAGTGCAGCAGAACGGGCTGCTCCCGCCCCACCCCCCGCCAGGTCTACAAGGGAGAGAAGCCCGAGGGGGCAGAATGGTGGGCTGACACAGGTCACGCAGAGGCAGCTTCCAGAGAACCGAGCTGACCCAGAACAGAACGGGCCGCGTGGGGAGGTGGTGAGCTGCCCGTCCCAGACGAAGTATGGACGCTCCCTCTCCAAACAGTGGCCGAGGGGATTCCTGCTCAGGCACAGCCCCTGACCAGCTGGCAGGAGAGCTCCCCCAGCGGTCTCGTTGTCCGGGGGGCCGACTGGGGCCTCTGCTGAAGGCAGCAGACATGCCCCAGCCCAATCTGGGGGCGCAGCCAAGGCCGCTCCGTCACTCGGCAGCCCCCGGACAGAGAGGCCAGACCCGCGCCCACGTACCGGGCATTGCCGTCGTAACCCGCAAAGATCCACAGCTTGTCGCTGTACACGGTCGCCCCGTGCGCTGCCCCCGCCCCTGGTAACCGGGGGGGGGGGGCCAAGGTACACGTGAGGGCAGGTCACCGACTGCCGCCAGCCCCGGCCTCCCAGGGACGGCGCCTCCTCATTCCTCAGACGTCTCGTCACGGGCCCTGGAGGCCTCGAAGAGCCTGCCCACACCCAAACCCCTGACCCAGACGGACAGAGCGCTGGGCCTGGAGTCAGGAAGACCCGAGTTCAAAACCTGCCTCCGATACTTACAAGGCACATGCCTACTGTGTGCCTCAGTTTCCTCAACTGTAAAAGGGACATAACAGTCCCTGAAGGGGACACGTGATGTAACGCGGTTACTGAACACCTCGAAGCCATGCTGTCATTCAGTCATTCCACTCACGTCCGACCCTCCGTGACCCCACCTGGGGTTTTCTTGGCAAAGATCCTGGAGGGGTTTGCCATTTCCTTCTGCAGCTCATTTTTCAGATGAGGAAACTGAGGCAAACAGGGTATGACTTGCCCAGGGTCACTCAGCTAGGAAGTGTCTGATTTGAACTCGGGTCCTCCTGACTCCAGGCCCAGCGCTCTATCCACTGTAGCACGCAGCCGTCCCCCAAAACGCTACGTAGATGCCGACCCCGCTCCCTGCACCGGACACAGCCACCCTGGGCACCCCGGCTGGGCGCCTTCTCCGTCCTCCCTCCTACCACATCCCCTGCCCCTTCCACAGGTCGCTCTGGCTCTGCTCTGGTTTCCTGATGCTCCCTCCGCTGGAGCCCCATGGAGGAGGGGCTTTGGGTCCAGCTCTGGCTCGCCAGGCGGCCCTCTGCGAGGTCCTCGGCCCATTCCCCAGCCTCAGTTTCCTCTCCTCTCACATGGGGCTGGGGTGCCTGGGGAGCCAGGGCCGCGGCGTCCTCCACCTCCAGACAAACAGCCCAGGGGCAGGGGGCAGGGGGCAGGGCCAGGCCGAACTCACCGCCCCTCAATCTTCCACTCTGCCCACTGCCCAGTGGCAAACTTGTATTCAAACAGGTCGTTCTTGTTCTTCAAATTGGAATTTGAGTAAATGTCGCCGGTATAGCCGCCTGTGAAGACACAGCTCTGTGAGCCTCCACGTGGAGGCCAAGGGGGAGCCCTGCCCCGCAGACAGAGGCCCGGCTTCCAATCCCACCAGGGGGGCTCTGGCCACATGACTCGGCCTCTCTGGGCCACCTGCATCCCCCAGAAGGCCTCTGATGCCCCTTCTGCGTCTCAATCTATGATCCAGACAGAACTGACAGCCTTGGTAGGGAGTGAGCCCCTTGTCACTGGAAGTATCCAAGGGGAGCGCAGCTGGGCACAGACTTTAGGGAAGAGCTAGTCTCACCCCAGGAGGTCCACTCTCCCCCAGGATCACGCAGCCCCTGCAGCCCCAGGTTCACGAGGGGCCTCTCTTGATGGCTAAAGAACAAACATGCTTGAGGCCAAGCCCCGGCCCCAGGGGCCCCTGAGCCGGTCTGACAAGCACAACACCCCTCCTGGGCCTGACCTGGAAGCCCAGCCCTCACTGGGGCCGAGGGCACACTCCGGGGGGCTTTGGGCAAAGGCCCGCAACTGGAAGACAGGACCCAGGACAGGGCCCAACGCCCTTCCACTCACTGGGCCTCAGTCTCCTGACGTGTAAAATGGGTCAATACTACTGGCACGGCCCCCTCCCATCATGTCGGGTCAGGTCAGACGGGCCCCTGAAGCACAGTCCCGCTCGGTCCTCACCAAACACAAACATGCTGCTCCCGTAGACAACGGCTGAGTGATGATAGCGGGGGGCTGGCGGCGTCCCCGTGGTGAAGGCCCTAGAGAGAGGGGGGCAAACGCCATCAATGCCGCACACATGGAGGGCACGCCGGGGTTTCTGGATTCACCAACAGAGAACAAAATTCTGCAGTAACATGTTTGGAATGGAGCCCAGGATGAATTGGGGCTGGGGGCCTGGGGTCTGATGGGAAGCAGGTGCTCTCGGCCACAAAAGCCCATGTGTGGATGCCCCCACGGAGCCTCTGAAGAGGCCCCTCGGCAGGTGACCAGAGAGCCACAGATGGCGGGGGGTCAGCAGGGGACCTCAGGGGACAGGGGCACAAGCAGGGCCTCGGGGGCTGGAGGGTGGGAAAGGGACCGGCCCCAGCGCCAGCTCTGACCGTGGGGAGGCATGCCCAGACAGCAGCGTCCAGCCCGGGCCCAGCCCTGGGGTCTATAACTGCTTCACGGACATCTCCACGTCAGGACCCCAGCCTGAGAGGCCCCTCCTCCTCCCCCCTGCAAGTCCTAGCTAGCCCTAGTGCCGCCCCCTCCCACCTGCCCTGGCCCACCCACATCTCCCTTCTCTGAACTCCCAGAGGATGCATCTGGTCTAGTCTGGTCTGTCCCACTGGGGGCCAGCCCAGGGGCCAGAGCGGGGCCGGGGGCCAGGGGCCGGGGGTCCAGGGGGCCGGGGGCCGGGATGGAGCTGCCCCAACGCTCCCACCCCCACAGCAGGTCAAGGCAGGCTGGGCAGAGCACAGGGGAGCGTGACGGTGGCAGCCAGAGCCCACCTGCACCAGGAGCAGTCCTTGACGTCAAAGCGCAGAAGGTCATTCAGCATTGTCTTTCTGAAAGGAACAAGGCCAAGGTGAGAAAGGAGCCTGTCCTCAGAAAGGCCACGTGGCAGTCCACAGAAACGGGGCGTCTGCTCCTGCTTCTCAGGGCCCTGAATGGGGAGCCAGGTTGAGATCCTGGCTCAGCCACTTTCTCCCCAAGTCAGTCCAGACAGATGGCTGCCCTGCCTCAGTTTCCTCACCTGTAAAATGAGGGAACCGGACTGCAGTCCTTGCTAGCTCTGACCCGGGCAAACCTGCCTTCCCGCCATGAGAAAGGAGGGGCCGAGGCCGCAGGTCTACGGGCCGCCCTCCCCGGCCCTGGCACCCTGTGGTACCACCCTGGCCAGTTCTCTTCCAACTCTCGTGGACTCAGTTTCCCCCTCTGTCCAGCGAGGCTTTTGGGCACAGATCTAAAAGCACTTTAGTACACCTGGCATCTCTTTTGCCTAGAGTGGGCAGTACATCATTACTCCCATTTCAGGGATGAGGAAACTGAGTCAGGATGCAGTAAAGGGTCTCCTCGTGGGAAGCGGCTGGTGCTCGGGGACCCCTGAGAAATGGCAGGGGAGTGGGGGCGGGGAGAGGGAAGGGAGTAGAGGAAGAGACCCCCAAGAGGGGGCTCCCCCCACCCCCCAACAAAGCCCTCCGTGAGGCACCCAGCTTCCTTCTCGCAGCCCCCCACGAAGGGCGCCCCCCTCGCTCACCTACCCGTTGTCGCCTCCAAACACGTAGATGGCGTCTTTGTAGGCCACCACCGTGTGCTTGCTGCGTCTGCGAAAGGAGGGGGCGGGGTCACGGCCAAGGCCAGGGAGGGCCCCCGCTGGGAGCCCCCCCCCCCCCCGGGAGACCCCCCCCCCCCCCCGGGGCCCCCCCCCCAGCTGCCCTCCCACGACCCCGCCCCTCCACCAAGCCTCCGGCCTAGCCCCGCCCCCTGCACCATCGCGGCCCCTCCCCCTTAAGCCCCGCCCCTTCCCAGACCCTCGCCGGCCCCGCCCCCCGCGCAAGCACGCACCGTGCGCCCACGAACTCGTCGCAGGGCGGGAGGCGGCGCCATCGGTGCACGGTCTCGAAGGGTCCAAAGTTCAGGGTCAGGTACTCCACGCTGTCCGAGCAGCTGTGGTCAAAGTCCACGCTCGGGGCCACCTTGGGTCGCGCGGCTGCAGCAGGTCCCGCGACAGAGCCCGAGCCCGAGCCGGAGCCCGAGCAGCCTCCGCCCGGAGCCGCCGCCATGCCCGCTCCGCCCCCCCCTCGGAGCCCCGCCCGTGCCTCCCGGCGGCCCCCGCGTCAGGACTACGGTGACCCACGTAACCGGTATCGACTCCTGCGGAGGATACGCGCAGAGACTGCTGGGAAATGTAGTCCGGCTTAGGGCGCGGGGACCGCTGGGAGGTGGAGCCTGGGCAGGTGTGGCCCGCTCCACGGGGCGTGACGTCATTCCGGAAATGTAGTCTGTCTGCTCCTGCCGGTGCCTGCTGGGAGTTGTAGTCAGTTCGTGGGTTTTCTGTCGGCAGCGTTTAGCGCTTGCTGCCAAGAGCCCCGTGGCCATAGGGAGGTAGAACCTGACGGGCGCGGAGCACAGCGGGAGGCGTGGTTAGAAGCTAAGACTGAGTAGTTCTTCCCACTGCCCCCACTAGGGCGCCAAGAAGCATTCGGTTTCCAGCCTGTCTGCCATTGCCCAGGCTGTCCTCCCTGCCTTGCGTGCACTCCACCTTCTTATAATCCTTACTTTCAAGGCCCTACTCTGGCCACCTCCTCTGGGAAGCCTTCCTTGATTCCGCCCACTTATTAATGCCTTCTCACATCCAGTTACTTTGTATTTACTTATTGGTCTGCGTGTCATATTCCATTGGAATGTTGAGGGTGAAGTGGTTCCATCCATCCATTTGTCCATCCATCCATCCAGCCAGCCATCTGTCCATCCATCCACCCGTCTGTGTGTCCATCCATCCACCCGTCCCTCCTTCTGTCCATCCATCCATCAATCCATCCTTCCATCCGTCCATCCATCGTTTATTTAACTACTGTGCCTGAGACACGAACCCATATGCCTTCCTTGTGCCCTAAAGGGGGTGGGGGCAGGGTCATGGTGGAGCTAGAAACCACCTCCCCCCACCCAAGGGTCACTCGGCCAGTCTCCTCAAGCCTGGGGCGGTGCTCACTGAGCAACTCTGCCTCCCTTGGGCTGAAGAAAGGACCCAGGCAGAAGATGGCGAGGGTAGCCTCGTGAGCTGACCCGCTGACCCCCAGATGGGAGGGGGCTCTGGGAGACCCCGAGACCCCCTGGTCCAACCCATTCATCCAATCCAGGAGGAACCTTCAGCCTGTGACCAGTGAAAAGTGAGCAGACTCACACCCAGGCCCTCTGAGAGGTCCCATCCTCCAAGCACCTCCTTGTACCAATGAGGCCGTTGAGGCCCAGAGCTGGGATGGGACTTGTCCCAGGATGTCCAGCCTGGACCTGACTCCCACTCCTGTGCAGCACTGCCTTTATTAAGTGCCTGCTGTGTACTGGGCACTAACCTAGGCACCGGGGACATACAGACAAACCAACTCTCCCATTCTTGGGATCACAGAATCGAAGAGTTGGAGGAGGCCTTAGTGCCATCCCCACCCTCTACCATCTAACCTTCCCTCAAAGACCACCAGTGATGGAGAGCTCACTACCTTCCACTGCTTTACAACGACCATGGCTAGGAGCAGGTCGAATGTGGCCTTTCAAAGCTCCGTGGTTTGGTCCTGAGGGCCAGACAATCCTCCTTTCACAGGCCAGTCCTTCCGCTATTTGTAAATGCACCTCACGTGGATGCAGCACGCCCTGAATTTACAGGGAAGCATGTCAGAGGCACGTGCACGCAAAGCTGGCTGAATTGGGGTCAAGATGCAGGTCTGAGGCTCATCTCAGACGCTAGCTGTGACCCTGGCTACGTTATTCTCTCCCTGTAGTCCTCAGCTTTCTCATCTGTAAAATGGAGGGATAACAGCCCAAGATAATGGGTATAAAGCAGAGGTGTGGGTCCCTGGAAAAGCTGTGAGGCAAGAGTGGGGCTGGGTGGGAGGAGACCCTGGCAAGGGATGGTGGCCGGGTCCTCAGGCTTGGTCCTGGCCTCATAGGACAAAGCTCAGCAACCACCTCTTCATCCCCCTCCTGGGAACCCCCAGCCCTTCCCACCCGTGTGATCTTGGACAGCCAGCCTCAACATCCTCATCTGCAGCATGGCCTCATTGGCCCATCTCACACTAAACCTCCTGGTCCTGGCATTTCCTCCCCAGAGAAGCCTCCTTTGGAGGCCACAGCCCCCCAGGCAGATGCCAGGACCCTCGGCAGGTCGAAGGCCAACAGGACCCAGACAAGCCTGAGTCCCCATCCCGGCCTGGCCACCTCTGAGCTTGGCCAAGACACACCCTCTGGACCTCAGTTCTCTGAAACAGAGCTGAGGGTGCTAACCACTCGCTCAGCAGGGGCGAAGGGATGGAGGCCCTGCCCCCAACAACAGCGTTCTGGAAGAGTTCGAACTTGGCTGTCCACAGTGCCCAGCGTGGCCGTCTTCCCGTGAGAAGGCCTATGTTCACAGCCCAGCTCAACCCTTACTAGCTGTGTGACCTTGGACAAGTCACCTCCCTCTCTAGGCCTTGGTTTCTGAACTTGTTAAAAAAAAAAGGGGCTGGGGTTATGATCCATAAGGTGCCTTCCAGCATGCTGTGAGCTCTGAAAGGCCCCCAAGCAGTGAGGGTAGCCGGGGAGTGGACCCTGGACCCCTGGCCTTCTTCCCTACAAGATCCCAGAGCCAGCTGGTTCTGCCTGCCGCAGACTCGCACCCGAAGGGCGGAACTCGAGAGCTTCCCGCCAAGCTTGTGCCCACACCCGGACAGGACGAGAAGCCACCCCCCGTGGGGCTCTGGCAGCGCCGCGTGCTGCTTTCATTCTAAGACACCCAGGGGCTCCCCAGGGTGTCCGGGAGGCAGGTGGGCGGAAGTCACACAATCCACAGGCTACATTCTGCTCCAACCCAAAATCAGATTTGTTTATTGCGTGTTGTTGCTTGGGTTGTGCAAGGGGGGGGGGGGGGGGGGGCCTGCCCTGGTTTCCGAATTCGGCAGTCCCTGGACAGAGGGGGAAAGGTCACCCGCTGACCCTGGGAGGAAAAATCCGTCACGAGTGAAGATCCGGAAGAACGTCAAAGATGGGCTTCAAGGCCCCGACATTTACAGGTAAGGGCTGATGGCCCAGAGATGCAGAACGCTCCATCCTGAAGATGGCCAGGAGCGGGTCCCGGGGATGGGGACCGGCAAGACGCAGGCGGGGCCACCAGAGGAGAGGGGGCTCCAAGCTGCCGCTGTGCCACCTCGAGGACCCGGATACCGGCAGATCCCGTCAGGAATCGGCCGGGTCCCCGGCACGCCCCCCACGCCACAGTCAGGTCGCCCCAAAGTTCCCAGAGGAGCTGGAACCCCCGGACAGGAGTCGGCTTTGCAGCGGGGGACGGACGGGCTAGATTCTGCTCGGAGGGAGATACTGGCGAGGCGGCGGGTTTGGCAAGAGTCTGAGTGAGCGGCTGCCCACGTCCTGGCCAGATGTGCTGCAGCTGGCCGGCACGCTCGGCCAGCTGGGTGTTCAGTAGCCTTTGCCCGTCAGCCACGACATGTCTCCAGTCCTGGAAGAGAGAGTTGGAGCCGCTTTACTTGGAGGCTCTGAAGGACGCGGACAAACATCTGCCCCCAGCCCTCCTCCCTTCCAACCCAGGGCATCCCCCGGCTGCGCTCCTCAGCTCCCAGTTTGAGCTGCCTTATCTCCTCCCTAGGGCCGACTCCTCTGCCTGGACACTCATTCCCATCCCTCCCATTTTGGGGAGCCTCCATCCGATGGTTCCCAAGCCCACTGGCCTCCGGTCTCTGCCATCCTGGGACTCCATCCCCGCCCCCCTTCTCTGCAAAGTTTCTGCAAAACGCCCTCAGTGTCCAATGCTTGCATTTCCTCACCTTCCATCTCTCCTAGACTCCTGGCAATTGAGACTCTGACCCCATTCCTCAAATGGAACCCTTCTCCCCCACGTCATCCCTCCAGCAACCCCCCAATCCAATGGCCTTTGCTTCTTTGACTTCAGGATTGCTCTTAATTCTGCACGGCCAGAGCTAAGATGTGGAGGGGACCCCAGAGGTGAGCAGGTATGTCCTCGACAGCTTCTCCGACATGTGGGCACCAGGGATGGGGAACTCACTACCTATTTAGGCAGCCCAACCCACTTTTGTCTTTGTCAAGACACGCTATAGAAAGCGCCTTGTGTCTGCAGTCAGAGGACTTGGGTTCAAATGCAACCACGACTTTTGTGACCGTGGACAGTTCACTTCCCCTCCCTGAGATTCAACTGAGTTATCTGTGAAATGGGAGGGTTGGACTACTTGGCTTCCCCGGGCCATCTTTGGGTGACCCCATTGGCTCCCATGGGACCAATTCTCAGTCTCTCCAGCCCCGGTCTCTCTCCTGAGCTCCGCTGGTGCATCCATCACCAACATCAGACAGTCAGACACCAGCTCTTAGATATCTCCAGCCCCATGACCCATGGGGTCGGCATGTCTAAAACAAAGCTCACCTTCTCCCTGGCCCACAGCCGGCCCTCCCCTGAAATCCTCTGTCTCTGGGGAGGGCACCACTGCCCTCCCTCTCATTCACGTCATTAGCATCTCCGGTCACATCTTGTCTCATCTACACCCCTGCTCCCACTCCCACAACCGCCCCCTAATTCAGGCCCTCCTTACCTGATCCCCTCTCACCTGGGCTGGGGCAGGAGCCTCCTCATTAGTCCCCCGTCCCACCCCTCCTCTCACCCTACAGCACAGGTCTGACCATGGAGCTCCGATAGCTGCTCCCTATTACCTCCAGCACCAAATATGACCTCTGCTTAGCTTCTAAAGCCTTCACACGGTCTGGTCCCAACCTCTCTTTCCAGCCTCATTGGATGTCACTCCCCTTCCTGCTCACTACTGTCCAACCAAACAGGTCTTCTCAGTGTTCTTCCCACAAAACTCCATCTTCATCAAATCCTTTCATTTTTACAAAGAAGGAAACTGAGCCCCTGAGGGGGGAAGTAACTTGTCTGAGGTCTCAAAGTTAGTGCCAGGGCCAGGATTTGAACCCAGGTCCTTTGACTATAAACAGGGTACATTTCCATTTATCTAAGATGCCATCAGTGTGGGTAATCCCCTTCAATGGGGCAGATTGTAGCCCATCATCATGGCTGGAGTGGGGGGGGGGGGGCGTGGTGTGTGGACAACTCTGAAAGCTGACCTGCCTGACCCTCCCCTGCATTTGTCCGGCTGGCTCCCTGAACTCTGACTCATCCAGCCCTTCACTCGGACACCTGGAAATCTTCTGAGCTTGGGAGGAGCCACGTAAGCTGGGGAGACTCTGAACCTCAGTCCCCTGTCTCAGGGCCCCATGGACAGGCAGCAGGGGCAATGGGATCTGTCATAACACTCATGGGCATCACTCAGACAGTCAGGAAGGTGCCAAGAAGGGAAACATACTTGCCAAGCCGAACAAAGAGCCTTAGGATATGAAAGCAGAGGAGAGAGACAGAGAAAGAGAGAAGAAAGAAAAGTCATTATTAGGAGCCCCAACTTCTCCACCAGCGGCCCCAGGGTGAGTCTCTTGTTGCTTTCGGGTCCTTCCTCATTCCTGGAATCCAGATCTTGTCAAGGTTCTCAGAACCTCACCCCACCCTGGGCCGCCTCTGCAGGGGTGATGCCGAGAGCCCACCATGGGATCGGAGGTGGGAGAGGAGGGGGCGCCATGGCCACCCTTGGATGAAGTGTGGTGGTCCTGTTGGATTTCCAGCACCCCTCCTCAGAGTGTCCAGTGGTCTCCAGCCTTTCCCTGGGGCCATGGCTGAGGGCACTGAGCTTCAGGTCCCATAGAGAGAGCTTGGATGGCTTTTGTCTAAATGCTGCCATGGATGTCCAAGTGTGTTCTATCCTTGTCCATGGGTTGTTCTGTATTACAGTAATCTGTCTGTGCTTTGTTCTTACCCCACTCCAAGACTGTGTACCCCATGAGGGCAGAGACTGTGCCTTATCTGAACTTTGAGCATGCACACATACACACACACACACACACACACACACACACACACACACAGGGAGCTCTGAGCACCGTGGATACTTTGAGAAGGCTGCTTTGTTCATGTTGAGGTGTTATGGCTTCATGAGTCTTCCCGGGTTTTGATCTCGTCCCTTGGCCCATTCTCTCTGGAATGGCTCAAGGCCATCTGCAGACTTGCACAGTTCTCTGCCCTCTTCCATACCCAGATCATTTAGACCAATATTCCACGAAACAGCCAGGACGTGGCACTGATGCCCGGTGGAACCCGCCCTTCGCTCTCCATATGCCAGGGTGGTAGCTCTGTCCCTGCCTTGTGTTTGCTGATTCACAACCAGGTCTAGAGCTGTGCCTACACAGACCACCACCCCCCAACCCCACACTGACCTGAGTCTTTTCTTAGGTGGCTACAGATAAAAGGGCTAGGGAAGAGTCTTCACCCTCAGGGGAGGAGAGTCAGCAAAGTGGCTCCAAGACAAGCCTGACATCGGCCCTCCTGCCCCTAGTCTCCTCCCACTGGCTTGCCAGGGTAACAGGCTTTTCTTCAACATTTCGAGATACGGCGGAGGATTCCTTCATTGCCCCAGATCCTAACTCCAAGAAACCTCAGTAGATGGTCTTCATGAGATGTTGGAACCAAAAGAATTCATTCTCTGGTAGCCAACCCCTTTGGGCTGAGCCTGCAAAGTGAGGCTGGTTCTGAGACACCAGACGCCCAGTCAACCATCATCCTGGACTTGGTCTCACCTTCTGAAATGGTGACCTGTTGAGCTTCTCCCCAGTCGAGGGCACCCTGGTACCTGAGCCCTCTGCCGTGAGCTCACAGAGAGGGGCTATTCATTGGCCCAGCTAGTGACTGCCCTGGGCCCCGGGATGGGAAGGGGGAGACACACAGATGCCTCTACTCACTCCACATCTCGCTTTCGGATTGTTCTCCCCGAGGCCAGGACCTCAGCCACTTTGGAGACAATTGGGTCGTAGTTCATGCTGGCCACAGCAATCACCTCATCATTCCTGTGAGGAAGAGCCGGGTCAATGTCTGGGGGGTGGGAGAGGTCTTCCCAAAGAGGGTCCCCCTCCCCCCTCATGACTGGCAAGGGTCGGGGGGTGGGAGAGGTCTTCCCAAAACAGGCCCCCTCCCCCCTCATAGCTGGCAAGGGTCGGGGAGTGGGGAGGCCTTCCCAAAGAAGGTCCCCCTCCCCCCTCATGACTGGCAAGGGTGGGGGGAGTGGGGAGGCCTTCCCAAAGAGGGTCCCCCTCCCCCTCTCACGGCTAGAAGTCACCAGGGACTCACTCACTTGGTGTAAAAGGCCACGAACTTCAGCTCATCCAAGTCGCCCTGGATGATGACGTCATCAAACCCTTCCCCATGCCCTGGGAATGTTCACGGGGACAGAAAGGTGACCAGTGAGTGGTAAAGCCAGGACGAAGGCACTACCCTCCCTTTCTCCCCCCAGATCCATCTGTGAGGCTCATTTCTCCCGCAATCCTGGCCTGCCACGGCCAGCCATGATCTCCGCACACGCTCATCTCCCCTCAGCTGTGATGGGCCTACAGGTATCTGAAGGGCCATCCTGGGGAAAGTGGGCTAGCCTTGTCTCCTTGTATCCAGAGGGCACAGCAAGGAGCAATAGTGGGAGGGGGGACATTCAGAGAGGTGGGCTTAGGTCTGGAGTCAGGACAAGTCTCCCAATGACAGGACTTTAGGGAAATCAACCAATCAACCAACCAACAATCATCCCAATGGATGGAGCATTGACCTGGGAGTCAAGCAGACCCGAGTTCAAATCCCACAAGACTCTTACCAGCTGTGTGACTCTGGCAAATCACCAAACCTCTCTGGGCCTCCACAGAATAGAGGGGTGGACTCAATGTCCTCTGGGATCCCTCAGTTCTAAATCTCTGCTCCCATGATCCTCAATGAAACGATCCCTTATCTCAAGGAATTTATAGCTTAATGGAATGTGGCCCAAAGGTTAAGAGTTTCACATGACCTCAGAGGTCACCTGGTCCAACCCCTACTCCTACAGAGGAAACTGAGGCTCGTGGAGGGACTTCACCACCCAAAGTCACACAGCAGAGCTAAGACAGGAAGGAACCCAGGAAGCCAGCTCCAGACCCGCATCTCTCCATCACACCCTGAGACCCGCCATCATTGGGCAGAATCTGGCTCTAGGGGGTGGGGGTTACAGAGAGGCAGAGTTTGGAGCTCATCTAAGCCAGGTGTTCCTAAGCTGGGGTCCATGGACTAACTTTTAAAAACTGATAACCATATTTCAATACAATGGGCTTCCTTTGTAATCCTATAGATTTTATTTTAGGCATTTAAAAGCAGGAATCCTAGAAGCCAGTCCACAGAGACGTGAGAAGCCTTGCTCTGAGGAAACACGTGTTGCTGCTTGGAGCTGTCCAGCAGGGAGTTGGGCTGCCCGGGAGAGGGTCAGCTCCTCTACTCAGAACTAGGTTCAGCCAGGTCTCTTCCATATCAAACTCGGGGACTGGGAGAGATTCTAAGATTTGTCGTCCCCCTCCCCATTCCCTTCATGCTGGCATCCTGATTTGCTCAGGCTATATACTGCCTGGTTCTCCCACCTTCCCTCCCTCCCTCCTCTTCACCCAAGGCCACCGCCCCTGCCCAGAGACAACCAGCCCACGACCATTACCTGTGTAGCGGATACTTTTCCCAAACATGGCAGTCCAGAGGCAGGGCACAGTACTGATCTCGGCTTCCTGGGCCAGCATGTTCTGAGCCGCCACACGCCCTGAAGGGGGAAGGAGGCCTGTGAGGACCAGGACGCCAGCCCGGCAGGCGGCCCCCAGGTGGCTTCGCTAAGCCCACCCCACTCAGCCTGGAGAAGACTGTGCCTCACTGAGGGGATCACAGCAGCCAGAAACCGGGAAACAGCCCCACGCAAAAGCCACACAGTATGGGTCTTCCCCGCACTGTGTCACTGTGTAGTGTGTGACCATGAGCAGAGAGGAGCTGAGTGTTAAGTGACCAGATCCCAGAATCTCAGACTCTGAGGCTTAGAAGGGGCCTGAGGGGCTGCTCAGTCCAAGCCGCACCTGACCAAGGCATCCTGGCAAGTGACCAGTCAGCGTTTGCTTGAAGACCTTCAGTGATGCAGAGCTCACTCCCTTGGGTGCAGCCCTCTTTATCCT